AAATCGATTAAAAGTAAATGTTCTAGTTAAGAAATAATCAAATTTTTACTAAAGCAAAGGCATTGCGGGAACTTTTTTCCGGATCCGATATTACATTCAAATGAAACTAATAAATTAAAATAACTCATATACTGTATGTAAGTTTATATTGCTATAATCATCGCGTTATTATTAAACTTGCACGTAATTACAGTACAATAAGTGTATGGTGTCTAATACAATGATTTATATAATTGATAAGTATTCAAATATTATAAATACAAATGATTGAAATTAATTTTAATTTAGTTGGATTTCATATCAATATAGATATAATCGTCGACACAATTATCATCATAAATATCTGTTGTTAACTCACGGCCTTTAACGTATCGATTGCTTACTTCAACATATTTGTTATCATGGTCAACTTCAGTTTCCGCATTTATCACATCATAGTGATAGTTATCATAAGTATTATCATTATCGTAATCATATTTCGCATATATATCTTGGTCATTTTCATACAAATTATCTGATTCTTGTTTGCGTTTCATTAGTTGCAATCGTTTTTGCTTCCAATACACGAATATAATGATCGATATTAGAGCGATAACTAATAACAAGATAATTCCAATCGATGTGATTAACATTGTTGACATGGATGATTTTCCTAACGTTCCTCTAGGTAATTGTTCATCCTTAATTTCTTGCATAATATCGTGACAAATGGTGGCGCTTTGTACAGGATTTAAATCCGTAGTATTAGGGGCAATGTCCATATCGGACCACTTATACACCCGGATATAATCGACGATAAACGCCGAGCACTGCCACCCCATGTGATCGGAATCGTCGAGTGATTGGTTCGCGTATTCATTTCCGCCGATATTTAACGCCATAGAAATATGAACAGGGTCACTTTGGAAATCATGCGTATATACTCCAGTTAAAGACATTTGTTTGCGTCCGTCAAACAGCCAATGGATTTCGTGTCTATTCAACTCGAGAGCGTACGTGTGAAAATTGGTCAAGTCACTTTTTGAGATTAACGCGTCGGTATCTGGGTACGTTTTGTACTTCATATCAAGCGAACTATTCCTTTTCGGTGGATACGTATAGACGGTTCTAGGAGTGAAAGCAATAAGGTGATTTACACTGAACAATCAATATGGGGTGGCGTTAAAACAACACAATCAATTTAATAAAATTGAAAGCGTGACATTTGTAACGTGTATTTTCGTATAGATATTTAGCATGTATGCATGCACTTTGTTAAACATGCAAAATTTAAATACACGCAAAAAAGGTCATCTGTTAAAATATATTTCTATTCATACCTATCATCTTGGAAACGGCGTTTCCCATCATTTTTGCTTATCAGATACGCAGTGAAAGATTGGAATCTATATATTTTGATTTCCGGTGATAGCATTTTGCCCCGGGGTAATGCGGCCCTTATTTCTACGAACGCAATGCCATTCCGTGGAGTACTGGCCACTACTTTGGCCGACGTATACCATTGAGTGTCATTGCCCTGACGGTACGAATCGCTATCTCGACGGATAGTTAGCGCTAGACTGCCGTCCCTTAACTGTATGTTCCGATCGGAATCCTTGTAAATACATTTCACGTGTCTGTCAGCGGTTACTGTAAAAATGATATTAAAGTTATGAAACAAAATACTAACAAAAAAAGGTTGTCAAATGTTGAAACCCCACTCCCCATCATTTTCCCCTATGTTTATTATATTATATAATATTAACATAGTATTCCCCTAATATATAATATTAAGAGTATTAATTAATCTAATAATTTATCACATTGGTTTATCGCATATTAATATAATATTAGTACAATAATCGAAATAATTCTAGTCTACCCAAATTATTCTATTAAAATTTAAAAATACGTACCATCACATTTATTATCTCGGTGGGTTTTTGACCAAATATTATCATCCAGATCCTTTTGATTAAACTCTTCATTCCATATAAGCGTCTTAAATTTACCAGGTTCATTATATTGAGTGAAATCTTAATAATACATGAAATTATTGATGTTTGTTAAATACAGTAATTTATAACTGTATAAATTTTTTCTATGTATAAATTAAATTAATATAAAAGCGTCGCCAAAATACTGTTAACTCGTTTAATACAATTTAAAAATACTTAGAATTGAGCTAGATCAAAACAAAATTTTTTGCAACTATGGTTTTCTCCTACCATTACGCCGATATGATCACTTTTTCCCAAATCAGAGGGGAACGGTAGGGAACGGTATGAAATTTAAATCTCAAAAATCTCAAAAAGTATTAAATATTTTAAAGTTCTGATTTTTGGATAACATGTGAATTGTCAACTGGTACAAACTAATTTCTGGATTTCTCGAAATTTTGTCTAGTTGATTTTTAATAATTGTTTTAAATTTAAAAATTGAAATATTTAAATTGATTTATTTCAGCGGTGGATAAAGGTATCATGATCATCTCAACTTGATTTTATAGATCTCTCGAAGTACTAAATTTTAGCCTCTTACACATATTAAGTAGCATTCATGTGAAAATTTTTATTGTAGATACAAATATTCTCTATGTGTGTTAATTAAATAATTTATTGTTTTGCACCTTTACCTGTAAAAGCAAAATACATGGAGAATATTCGTATCTACAATAAAAATTTTATGATGAATGTTACATAATATGTGTAAGAGGATAAATTTTAGGATTTCGATTAAAATAAAGTTGAGATGACCATGATACCTTCATCCTTCGCTGAAATAAATCAATTTAAATATTTCAATTTTTAAATTTAAAAGAATTATTAAAAATCAACTAGACAAAATTTCGAGAAATCCCGAAATTAGTTTGTACCAGTTGACAATTCACATGTTATCCAAAAATCAGAACTTTGAAATATTTAATACTTTTTGAGATTTTTGAGATTTAAATTTCATACCGTTCCCTACCGTTCCCCTCTCATTTGGGAAAAAGTGATCATATCGGCGTAATGGTAGGAGAAAACCATAGTTGCAAAAAATTTTGTTTTGATCTAGCTCAATTCTAAGTATTTTTAAATTGAATTAAACCAGTTAACAGTATTTTGGCGACGCTTTTATTAGAATTTAGATTATTAAATATAAATATATTATTTATTTATTAACCTTATTGAAATAAACACTACTTACAATATAAAAATAATGAATTAAAATTATTTTCAAAAAACTATTTCAGATTTTGGTATTTTGTAGAAAATGGTTTAATAATTATAATCTAAAATTTTTTAACATACAATTTTGGGCAAAAACTTACATTTAGGGTCCGACATAATACCCGCGCATATCGCAGTTCGTTGCGCGATAGACACGTTGCCGTTAGTATCAGGGTATACGTCCACCGGACTGTCTGTCCACTCGTAAAACCGCATATAATCGACGAAAAGTACCGAACAATTCCACCCCTTTATCTCATCGTATGGCAAATCAATAGTTTTATCGGTGCGGACATTCAACTCAATGCCAAAATGAAAAGGTTGGCCATAAAGATCCCATTCCTTCACGTCATTGATGGACACGTAATTGTGTCCATCGAATAGCCATTGAATGTGTCTTATTCATTACCAGCGCATAGGTATGAAAGTCATTGAGGTTTGCGTTTTCAATGTATGCATTAGCGCTGGCATTATAAACGTACGATACATTTGATCCAGGCTCTTTAAATGTTACACCGCTATTGAGACGTTGTTGTTGTTTATGTTTAATAATATTTATTCGATCATCATTAGCTTTCATTCTCGCGTAAATGACCGTGCTCACCATTTTAGCACTCGGTAACGCAGCACGTACTTCATATTTGCCATATTTAAATGATCTTGAAAATTCAAATTTTGGAGTAATATACAATTCATCATTATGCAATCTCGATACAATTAGAACCAGTACATTATTTATTAATTGAACTTGACCTGTATATTGATAATCCAAAGTGTCATATGTACCTAAAATAACGATTAAAATTACACGATTAATATAAGTTATCGCCAAAAGGGTATTTATTTGCTTAAATATTATACTCACCGGCCCAATTTACAATATCCTGACGTCTAAATCCTGAATGAACTAGTTTCAAATATTTACCCGAATGAATGACTCCGAAATTATTAAAAATAAATAATATATAACACAATCGGATTATTGATTTTTGTGATATTATTATTGAAAAGATCATTTTTGAAATTATAAATGTACGTATACCTTATAATATTTCTGTATATTAATATTTAATAAACTCAAAAGGATAACAAAAACAGTTATACACTTAGTATAGTTATAAATTTAGTTGAAAATAATTATTATAAATGTTAAGTATATACATAAACGGACATAAAAAGTGTTTACCATATATGTATAATAACAACGTGTTGCAGTTTTCATAAAACTAAATTGAATGCACCATAAACGGTATGTACACTACTTGTATAATATACAAGTATATTATATAAAGGAAATTTTTAAAAAAATAAAATATTTATAAAATATAATTCAGCATACAGTAGTATTGGCCCTTAATTAATTAATTAATTTGTTTTAATTTATTATTATTATTGAGTGAAGTTTTTCTTTATATTCTTTTTGTTTATTTTGAACAAGGCATTTTCGTTGATTACTTATTGTCCAAACTTATCTATATAAGCTGTACAATAATTATTTGTAATATCTGGGAAAATTGTAATTTATGTTACTAGTTAGTATCATCTTAAACCACGTGTTCATTATATGCAACATTTAATAAACTAAATCCTTGTATATATTGTTTGTGACAAACAATTATACCGTTTATGGCATAGACGCACATATATGACCGATTGCGGCCAACTAGCGATGTATGCATTTAATAGTTTAATACAATATTTACAACACTAGTATTTTATGACTCAGGAATTTGACATTAATTGAATTTTAATTACTATTTGTATTAATTTAATTAATTAAATTAGCTATTGTCAGATTAATAAATAATTGCACAAAATATGATTGTTCATAAATTTATATTAATTATGTTATTCTAAATAATTTTTAAACCCTTGACTAAATATAATACTAAAAATTAATAACATAAAACAATATCAGTATACTATATATATTTTGTATGATATCAATAAATGCAGTTATTATCACAAATAAACACAATTATCAGTTGCCATAAACTACAAAAATAGTGTTGAGCATGTTACCATGTTACTTTATTAAGCAGACAAAGGATTGCCATTTAGGCCACGTATACACTTTCAACATTAACTACTTATAATTTTGTGAACATTATATTTCTGCTTATTAACAGACTTTAAATGAAATATATTTTTAAATTGTGTTAAAATGTGTCAATACATGAATCAATCCATTGGTGTAATGAATGCGTGGAAAGCAATGACAGTATTATTGACAATAAGTTTGGATTTGACGCACAGTTTATGCCGTAATAGCGGTGTCTGTGGTCTGGGTTTCGGTTATAATATCTATACCATTATTACTGACGTATTCAATCGACTCAACCATATCTATAGTTGGGGTCAGACCGCCCGCACAGGGAGTTTAGTCAACACCTATTAAAACGGCATTATTTGAGTTGAAGAATATTCCGTAAATCTGTGACTCCCGGTGCCATTACATATGATGGACAGGCGTCTGTACCGGACATACCGTTTATTTACTCAAACCTATTAAATCATAAAATGTATTATTTGTGACAAACGATGATATGGTTTATGGTTTGGGCGGTAATAATAAGGGATGTCTGGGTTTGGGGCACAATAATGACGTCTATTTAACATTAAATGGACGGGTATTATATTTCATACCCCAGGTATTCAGTTGGGGTCGTATTATGGACGTGAATTGGGACACAATATATCAGCTTGCTAGTATTATTTATATAAACTTTTAATTTATTGTTTATTTTGTCTACATGTTTTATGTATTTATAATTATTAAAATTAATAAAATTAACTTTTTTTTAAAAAGTGCATGTATGCAATAAATATTTTGAAAATTTATTTTATTGAAACCTATAATATTATACTTGTATGTTAGTCTATGGCTAATAATTATTACAGTAATAAAATGTTAATCTAAGTTGATAACATTTTATTTTATCAATCATTTAGCCATAAATGAGACAAAAACTTGTAAACTATTTCTATGTCTATAATAGGTTTCAATCAATAGTCTCATAATTATTACAACAAATGAATTCATTTATCAGTTATCGAGAGAAACACTTAAAACACTTAAGTTTGTAACGAAATAACTATTTATAAAAACTACCTAAAACTATACTGGATATATCAGTTTATGATAGTTGCCATTGTGATAAATCCCTTAAGATAAATGTGTAACTAGGGTGTAGTTCCCATGTTAACAATATATTTCATTATAAGCCACGTATTCATTATTTTTAAACATTTAATTTAACGTGAATTTAAAACTATTATTAATAATAATTGTTGAATAAATGTTTTATAATAAGACTAGTTTTAAAATGAAATTATTTAATATTTGTGTTATAATGTCACAAAATACTGAAAAGTATTTTATTTCTAATAATTTGTTAATAAGTTTGTATTTAACGCACAGTTTATGCCGTAATAGCGGTGTCTGTGGTCTGGGTTTCGGTCGTAATATATTTGATTCCCGTTGTAGTGAATGGTGTGAACCATATGTACAGTTGGGGTCACAATAGTGCGGGACATCCGGGAGTCAATCGGTGTTTATTTAAAACCACTTTAGATATCTAAACTCCCGGCGCCCTAACAATTTGTGGACAGGTATTCGTACGGACTATTCAATTGAGTAAATCATTGAATGTATTGTTTGTGACAAACAATGACTCCGTTTATGGTTTGGGACATAATATTGGTGT